CATTTCAGCTACTTTGGAGTCTTGGTGTGTATATTAGACAGTTGATCCACAACACCGCATCGGTGACCTTCTGTCTTCACATCGACTAGTCTTCGATTTTTCCAATGGCTTAAGTATGTATCAAGAGCAAATATACAAAGAACAAATAACTAGTAAGTGTTGCTAAAGTAGAGGAACAGATCAGTGGGTCATCACCAAATCAATAGGTGACCCAACACTTTCAACTAGACGATCTGTTACTGGTTTTTGTCTATTTCTTGGTAATTCATTAATCTCTTGTAAAAGTAAGAAATAGAATATTGTTTCTCGCTCTTCAGTTGAGTTTGAGTATAGAGCAATGGCACCTGTATCTTGTGAGATTGTTTGGGTTCTCAAAATTTTGTCTGATTTAGATGTGAATAACCTTTTACCTGTCAATTTGTTTTGTGGTAACAAATCTGCTATACAAATTGCAAATAATCTCGTTTTTTCATGAAAGAACTAAACACATAGAAATAGATATTCATTACATTCGTGAAAAAATTAGTAAAGGTGTTCTAAAAATTGTTAAGATTCCTTCTTCTAAACAAACAACGGATATTTTGACTAAAGCTCTTAGTATTAATCATCACAATTACTTGTGTTCAAAACTAAGAATGATTGATCTCTTTAAAGGTCAAGATTGAGGGCGGGTGTTAAAATATACATATGTAGTTTCCAATCTTGAATCATTCTTATTGACTAACTTAACTTTGTTTATCCTAGTTTGTTAATCTTTCAACAGAATTGGGTAGATATTGTTAATATGTCAAAGTTGTAGTTGGTTGTCAATTAGGAGGACTACGCCTCACTAAAGGGAAAAGATGAAGGTTAGCGGAGCATGTATTGCAACAATTCAAGGGGCAAACCTGGTCACTCAGAATTCATATATAAACGTTATATCTCCCGAATCTAAGCTCACAATTCATTTTTTACACTCAAATCTCGTCTTCCTCAAGAAGCTCTCTCTCTATTTCTGTTTAAGATCTATCTCTTATCTTTGTCAACTTAATAGTGTTAGTCTTTAATATTTGTTATTATATTCTACATATATAGTGTTAGATCTTTCGTTTTTTTATATTTGTAACTCTTGTATGATTATGTATTTCTGTTTTCAAGTTCTTAATAATGAAAATCCTTTGAATATGTTTAGTTTAACAAAAATCTATTAGCTATCAATCTCTAAATCGAGTCTAAGTCGAGCTCTAAATAGGTTCAAAATCCATTGGCCATCAGGCTCTAAGCTGACTCTAATCTTGCTCTAAATCGATTCAAAAATCCATTAGCTATCGAGCTTGGAATCGAATCTAAGTCAAGCTCTAAATTAGTTTAAAATCCATTGGCTATCAGGCACTAAATTGATTATAAATTGAGCTTTGAATGTAAGACCTGAGTTTTAAAAACATTCTCGTTAGCTTACTCAAATTGTACCGTACTTAAATAACGGTCGGTAATTATTGAAGGGTTAAAACCGCCAAACTTTTCATTATTTTCACCGCCTCTCATCTCTCTCTCTAACTTTTTCTTCTCTCTAAGATATTTCTCAAATCATTGAAGCAATCGAAGTAACGATTATATATTCGGAATCTACTCTTCAAACCCTTCCTAAAGGTATAAATTTCATTCACTTTTATTAGGGTGTTTACGTTAGCATTTTTAGACCGATTTATAAATTATGTTATATATAAGTTTACAGATGGATATTGTTATAAGTATGATATATTTCATGTTTAGAATGCTAGGATTGATTAAATTGATGTAGAAATTAAAAGGGAAGATTATGGTTTCATTATGGTTAGATTTGGTGTATATGTTTAACCGCACACCAATTGTTTGATATAATGCCGAAAAGGGTAAAATTGCATGATTAAGTTTAGGGTAGAGACCATTGGACTTGTTTTACGGTTTAGTATGTTGAAGTATGTTTATAGCACGTAAATGTAGCGAATCATGGAGTTTGGATTACAAAAGTTAGTCGGGAATTGCGGAATCGGATTTTACCGACTATGCAGGTCCATACTTTGACAGTGTATAACTTACAAACCATAAGTCGGAATAAGCTCATATTTTGCAGTTAGAAAGCCCTTAATGCATACTACAACTTTCATGTAGGGTCAAAAATCCAGTTATGAGTTTAAGTGGCTCGAAACAGTGTGTTTTCAGAGCTGTTTGCATTGTATTCGGGATTAATCTGCTGTTTTGTAAAATTCGTATAAAATAGATGGATATTTCAAATGAGGTGATTCGAAAACTGGTAGTTTCATTGCATATCATACTATAGCTTCATTTAGATATTATTTTCTGTATTGATTTCTAAGTGGGGTAAAAATACTTCCGAAAATGAGGGTTAAAAGCTGTTAAAAGTCAAATCGGAATTATATAAAGTTAAGTGTTGAATCGATTTCTTAATGCATATTAGGCCATCCTATTTGAAGTTTAAGTTGTTTATAAATATGTAGGACCTAAGTAATTTATTTGTAGAATTAAGATATGATTTTACGTCGTTTAAGTAATAACCGATTTGAGCATTCGTTAGGCACACAAGCAAGTCGAACTTTACCGTGAATCCCATTTGATCGTGTTTACTTCTCTATTCCACCTAAGGTACGGATTTCATATCTCACTTGACACGGGGATAGTCATTTGCGTAAGGCTTCCTAATCCGGATAATCTATGATAGATTCCAAATAATTTGTTCTGAATTTCCTTTATGCTTATCAAATGTTATTGAACTTTGTTTCCTTTTGAACTACGACTTATATTCTTATTCGGAATATGGATCATTTTGATCACTTGACTTATTTGATTGCTTCGTTTGTGGAACATTTTACTATAGACTCAATAACTGGAGCACCGGTATTGAGATGTTTCCATGGTGACTAAAACGATCATGRYGTCTTCATTTTTATAGTCCTTAAAGGTGGACTTGATTATGTATCGGTCGAATAGAGGGCGTATGGATTGATCCTAGGAACCGGTATCGGATAATAAATTATGGTCCTGGTTAAATTCACGGGATACTCGGGGTGTGTGCCTACACGCCAGCCCGATAGTTCGTGTGGTTTGGCCACCCCACGAACACTACAGAAATTGACGGATTGTGTTTAAATGATATTTTGAAATGAGAACTGTGAAACGTCTTGATTTCTATGAATTCAGTTTAATTGATTTTTAAGTCTTCCGTTTTATTATCGATGTTACGTATTATTATTTCAAGTTTATATTACAATCTGTTCACTGAGCCCCGTGCTCAGCCGTGTTCTTGTTTTCTGACACGGCAGGTTCCAAGTGATACTGATAAGGGACGAGACTTGAGATCGAGCGTTTGACTTTTTGGAGTTGGTAAACTCGTTTGTAGATGTATAAAACTCTAAGCTTATAAATAGTTGTTATGTAATATTTTGGATTGTAAAACATGTTTTATAAGTTAATTTACGTTTGGAGTTTATTAGTAGCTCTGAAATGTTTGTGTCTTTGAACTAAGTCCCGTTAGTGACACCGCCCGTTCCGGACCACGGGGACGGGGGATGTTACAAATGTGGTATCAGAGCATAGGTTTTGACTTGTAGATTAAGTAAGCTTGACCTGTGAGAAATGGTTAGACATAAGAACGGG